CATCCATCCATCCATCCATCCATCCATCCATCATCCATCATCCATCTATCCATCCATTATCTTTTCCCGCTTCTTTCTTTGTGGGGGTCACTGATGCCCATGTCCAGCAGTCAGTGTGCGAGAGGGGGGTTACACCCTGGACAGGTCTTCAGTCCATCACAGGGACACATAGAGACAAACAACCATTCACGCTCTCTCTCACCTAAAGACAATTTCGAGTTATCAGTCTAACATGCATGTTTTTGGTCTGTGTAAGAAAACCCACGCAGCACGGAGAGAACATGCAAACTCCGCCCAGAAAGAACAACAAAGTCCATGTTCAATAATCAGGAATACAATCCAACATTTTTCAGTCAGGTCATCTGGACAGTTTCTTTTTTTTTGTGCTGAAATGTTTCACCTTCCAGACCGAAGGCAAAACATTTCAGCACAAAAAAAAAAAACTGTCCAGATGACCTGACTGAAAAATGTTGGGTCCACCCAGAAAGGTCTCCGTCTGGAGCGCCTAACGTCACTGTCAAAACTGAATCAAAATGGCAACACCTCCTTCTCTTCTCCTCATAAGATAATCTTGGGGTTTTGCCATTGAATGAAAGGAAAACAGTGAAACTCGTTTGTAAAGAATCATCAGAAACCAGTGAGACTTGTCTGATGTTGAAATGATTACTGGCCCAGAGTTAAAACAACATCATCTAACCTGCAAACAGAACATCTGGGGTTGGCTCCTGGTTAACAGCGTGCTTCTCTCCTGCAGCCGTCTGAGGAGTAACGTGGAGGGCAAGTATCTGATGGACAGCGTCCCCTTCAGCTGCTGCAGCTCCCTCGCCCCTCGGCCCTGCGTCCAGCACCAGCTCAGCAGCCTCTCGGAGGACTTGGGTCACGGCGAGCAGAACCAGCAGCTGAACCTGTGGCGGAGAGGCTGCAGGCAGGCCCTGCTGGACCACTACACCGGCATCATGCGGTCCATCGGCCTCACCGTGCTCCTCATCTGGCTCTTTGAGGTACTTACAGTCACCCTAACGTCCAAACAGAGGACACGTAGATCTTCAGGGGTGTCTTTGGGCCCCAGTGAAACCAAGGTCTCCAACTCCTGAAGGTCCACTCTTCTGCACGTTTCAAATGTTTTCATGTTTGATCAGACATGGCTGAGAAGTTATTAACAGGGTTTTGCAGAACTGGAGGATTTCTCTATAAATCAGTCGGAAACGTCTCAACGTGCAGGACAACGGGCCGAGACGTCCAGAAGTGGGAGCTCTGTAACAAAATACAAATATTCAGCAGAGAGAAACCATAAAGTTTTAGTCGTTTGTGTTTAATCTTAAAAATAATTTTCTGTCAGGTGATTTTATAAGATGTGTGTGATCTGTTAGCTCTCAGAGTGTGTTGATGACGACTCTCGCTACTATCACACAAAAACATCTGCACATTCACAGATGTTGCCATTTTTGTGTTGGTAAATCTGCTGATTTATTTACCCACAATGCACCTGGATGCCTTGTATTTGGATTAGTGATTTCAAAGTGTCACATTACAAATGTCTGATACAATATGAACACAAAGAAGAGTTTTCAACAGCTGACATGAAGCCTAAACTAGATCTTTCCTTCCAGCTGCTGGTTCTGACCGGAGTTCGGTACCTGCAGACGGCCATGGAGAACGTGATCCGGCTGGGGGACCCGGACTCGGAGTCGGAGGGCTGGATTCTTGAGAAAAGTCTGGCAGAAACGGCCTGCTACAACTTCGACATCATCAAGAACCTGGGGAAGTGCTACCAGGTGGACGACGACCCCAACATCAACGTCCCGACGGCAGCTGCTGAGCAGGAGGTGCCGTCCCAGCAGGTCCAGGTCCAGGTCCAAAAGAACAACTAACATCCAGACTGCAGCTGCATTTACACTAAACGTTCTGCCTTCAGAAAAGAGTTAAAGGAACTTAAAAACTGTTTTTTTAATATTATTATTTGATGTTATGGAGAATAAATGTATTCACTGTAACAGAGGCACTTAAAATATTTCTAAACCAGTTTCTCCTGGTTGATCGCTGTGCTTTATGAAATCGATGAGGTGCTACGGTCCAATTCCGTCAGAATGGGCCAGAAACTGCTGGGCTGGACCAGTTCAGTCTTCAGGAGACAGAACGTGGAGCAGCAGGTCCTCAAAGGAAAATCTACTTCATCAGAACGGGCCTTTGTGGCTGTTCGTCTCTTCCACAAGGACTAATTTTAAGATACAAACACTGAAATTATGTGTGGTAGTAGCTGAGAGTCACTCCCAGCAGATATTCCAAGAGCTAACTGATCGCTGAGCGTTGCCATTAAAGTCATTGTATCTGTCTGCTCCCAGAATGACTCATAAACTGAGGGAAAGATTTAAATGAAACGTTCAGATATGCCTCTACAAACTACGGTGGCCCTAAGGTGTAAATGAACATTTGAACAAATGGAATTACATTAAGATGTAATGCGATAGACTAAGCTTTTTCCTTAGTTGACCCATGTCCCAGGAGAAATTTGATAGTTGACCCTCATCCGAGGTCTAACGGGGGAGTCAGATTCAGATAAGCTACAATTGCTGATTTCTTCAGGCAGACTGTTTTTTTCTTGTCAGCCTTGAGTCCTGCTGGAACTTTCCAGATCCAGATTGGCCAGGTTTGTGAGGATTCCACTGATCCGTGCTATGAGCATTCTTCAAGGTCGTCTCCAACATGCTGGCGAGTCCTAGAAGCCGCAGGTGGTCCGTGATTCTCACAAATCGCTTCCATCCTGCGGTTTAGCTCGTAAATCAGCTGATTTTGAGTACTCGTCGCATGAACCAAACCTTCACACAGACCTGGTAGTTTTGTCATGACCGAAACTGCTGCCGATGTCGTCCTCAAAAGTTGATAACACAGGAACCTGTCAATGCTAAAAAGCAGAAACCCTGCTATCATGAATCCAATTATATAAATGTCTTCAGTGACGTCCTGAGACAGAACAGAAAGACACATCAGCTCCCAGACGCCCCACAGATCCATGATGTATCCTGAGTGAGTCTGAACGGGGCATGAGGGCTCTCCAGTACCCTGTCGCTTTGTTGAAAAGATTTTGTCGATTGTGTTGAAAGTGCAGCTCACCAGATCCATAATAGTATTTTTCGTTCGGAAGATGTGTAACAGGAGCACGAGACACAGACAGAGAGCAAAAACTGGAGGGAGAGGAGAACAGGGGAGGGAGAAGAGAAGGCGTCCGCGTTGAGAGAGAAGTAAGTAAAACACTTCTTCATTCTGAAGAGCTGCAACAAACTCAGTCTTATAAATAGTTCCTTCTCATTGTGGATCAACCAGTTTGTTGTTGACATCCAGAAGATTGTCCCAAAGATCCAGTCCCCCGGCACAAACAGAGTAATATTGTGTATGTTGTTCAGTGTCAGGAGGGTGATCAGTCATACATTGGGGAAACTAAACAGCCACTGGACCAGCACAGAAGATCAACATCATCAGCCAGGACTCTGAGGTCTACACTCATCTCCAGACCAGAGGTCACTCTTTCAGGGATGAAGATGTTCACATCCTGGACAGAGAGGAACGATGGTTTGAGAGAGGAGTAAAGGAGGCCATCTTTGTGAAAAGAAATCGTCCATCATTAAACAGGGGCGGAGCCTCTGTGTTCAACTCTTACAAAGCTGTGATTGCTAGAATCACTCATCCTCTGTGAATAGTGAACAGACATCAGGGCGCTAACAATCAGTCATTAAGCTGATGGTCCTCCTTTATCATGAGAGTTCTGTCAACTACAAACTGGTCGATCCACCATGAGAAGGTGCCGTTTATAAGATGGAGTTTGTTGCAGCTCCTCAGACTGAAGAAGTTCTCTGGATAAAAGATTAAACGTTTCTACAAGAAGAATCTGACCAGAAGACCTGACTTAACCTTGTTAGATCCATCCTTTATCTTCCCGCTTCTTCTCTTCGGGTCGCTGGTGCCCGCAGCTGCATCTTTGTTCCCGTGCAGCGTAACGTGATCTTAAACTCTGCAGGTGACGGCTGTGAGACGCGTTCCTTCAAGGAATGCTCGGCCTCGACCACCGTTTCCGTGTCCTCCGTCCGTTTCCAGTTCCCCCTCCTGCTGGTTTCCTGCAGCCCGTGAAGACGGTTGACTGACTCCAGACTGAGTGACGGGAACACGTCTGGTGAACACGTCATAAAGCTCATCCCAGCTGTTGCTGTAAGAGCTTCTCACCAACCACCTGCACACAGACCCGTTTCAGCCTTCAGGGCTGACGT